TCATTGCTGTCCACCACGAAGATCAAACTGTGTGTATTCTGGAAGAAGTGGTGCCACAGTGGCTAGATTTTGTCCTGGCCACCCACATCCCAGACGGTGAAACTGATGTTCTTGTACTCTACGGTCTCCACGTTGAAACCTGTGGTGGGAATGGTAATCACGATTTCACTGAGCTTCACTTTGTACAGAATCGTCACACCCACATCCCAGACGGTGAAACTGATGTTCTTGTACTCTACGGTCTCCACGTTGAAACCTATGGTGGGAATGGTAATCACGATTTCACTGAGCTTCACTTTGTACAGAATCGTCGTCTTCCTGCCAGTGTCTAGACCCACCATGAGGATGCGCATTTCTTTTTTGCCAAAAAGGCCTTTGAAGAGGTTCGCAAAGATATTCCCCATTCTTGTGGATGGATGGAAGTGTCAATGGCCAGAGAAACCTCAGCAGCTGCTGGTCCAAGCGAGGCACTGGTTTCGCACCCATCCATTCTGATTATTTTACTTGCTTGTCAGTCACTTGAAAGAAGGCTTCATGAGAGGAGGGGCTTTTTTTTCTGTTTTATTCAGTGCTGGTATGCCTAGTTACTGACACATAGTAACACTAAATAAATATTTGTTTAATGTATTAATAAATACAATTAATTTTTTTCCAGCCTCATTACACTTTTGATTTGTGGCTACAAGTTTTATTCATGATGTTGATCCAAAGTCTCCCATTCTGGGGCCGGCCCGTTGCTCACTCGGGAGAGTGAGGTGCTGATAACACCAAGGCCCCGGGTTCGGATCCCATATAGGGATGGCCGGTTGGCTCGCTGGCTGAGCGTGGTGCTGACAACACCAAGTCAAGGGTTAAGATCCCCTTACCGGTCATCTTTAAAAAACAACAACAACAACAACAAAGTCTCCCATTCTGGAGCTAGTCAGCTTTCGCTGTATTTGTAATGCTGTTAAACTTATTTTTGGTGATTTTCCAGTGGTTAAGCATGCTGTTTCCTCTGTTGTTGTAGAGGCTTAACCTTGACCTTTGCTTTAGTCTTTAATACAGTGATTCTCAAAGCAAGGTCTTTGAGCCCCTAGTTGTTGCCAAGACCTATTCGGGGGTTTGTGAGGGTCAGTCTGTTTTCACAGTTGTGCTGAGATATGACTGGCCTTTTTCCCTGTGTTGACATGTGTTCTGATGATGGAGAAGCAGTGGTGGGTAAAACTGCTAGCTCCTTACTAACTATCGAAGCAGTGACCCCATACTGTATTAGTAGTCACTGCATTTTTCAACACCATGCATTCGTGGTTAAAAACAAACAAAAATGCTAGTTGTTCTTAAGATGTCTTTGAGAAGCTTTAAAAATTATTAATTAAATCTTGATCTCTGAATGCATGTCTTTTTTTGTATTCTCTAAGAGGAAATGATAGTATGTGTAGAGCAATTCTGCATGCCACAGTACATGCAGTGGCTGTCTGAGGAAAAGCACTTGTGTATAGGTACACAACTATGCCAGTTGTTGGATTGAGGCAATAGCTACGCTAATTGTATGGCTGGGCATTTCATAACTAAAGCCAAATTGTTTCATTATTTTAGTTATACTGACTTTCCATTTGTATTGTCAGGGCTAGGGCTCAGACCCTTCAAACCCACTGTACAGACTGGGTCAGCAGAACCCTCACACGCAGGTCCACGCTAGGTAATCGGGAAAGATCTGGTAGCTGTTGGCAGACGACACGAGCTCAGTCCTCAGGAGCAGCAGCTTATGGCAGTCTCCAGCAGTTGTAGTGGTGGCCTCCCGGAGGGTCCCAGGGGCCCTGGCCACAACAGCCTCCAGCAGCAGTAGCTACCCACCTGGGAGTATCCTGGGGACAGGGGAACACAATAGATCAGAGCCGCTTGTCCTTTATACTTAAGTGCATAACCCACATGCTCAGTTACATCAGACAATAATCAAGGAACACCTTGGCACACATACATATTTACATCAAATGCTTGGCAAGATTCTGAACATCTGAGGGGCCCTGACCATTTTCCTATATTTTCCCAACAACTGTGTGCACGTTTGAGTTACAAGCTAAAGCAGTGGCATTTTTACAGGAAACAGGGTTTTTGTTTGAACGAATGACATACAGACTCTTGTTATTCCAGACATAGGTATTTGGCAGGCATTTTTTTTTTTTAAGGCAAACAAAATGAGCCTGTCACGTCAGAGGAAAACGGCCGACGGTATTTGCTGCCAGTGATAAACTTTGTGCTTTCGTATGAAAAATAGTTTTGGAAAACTTGCATCCAACCATCATGAGCTTGATAGCTTTCCAAAACCTAAAGGCTTCTCTGATGAGATTGGTGCTGATATTAGTGAATATGAATTTTTTATATTAATTAATGAAATTTGTCAACATATGATAGATCTGTACAACCCAGTGAACCAAATACTTTCCAAATTGACCAATGTCTGGTGTTACAAAATCATGCATGGATTAAAGACCCATTCAGAAGTCAAGAATATTCCAGTGAGTCTTAATGTACAAGAATACAAAAAATTCACTGATAGACCTTCACATTCCACATTGCAACTAACTTTGAAGAAACTACCACTTGTTGAGTTTTGGTATAATGCCAAAGAATTGCCACAGTTATCTCAAAGGACTATTAAAATACTTCTTCCTCCTCCAGTTGCATGTCTATGTGAGCCCTTATTTTCTTCATATGCTTCAACTAAGACAAATCACAAGAGGTTGAATGCAGAAGCAGATATGAGAATCTATAGGTGTTTTCTATTGAAGAGATTTTTAAGGATATAGATTTTTTCATAAAACGTCATTTAGGTCAACAAATAATGGAGTGGTATATTTAAAGTAATTCTAACTTATCAGCAAATTGCCTATTTTGCTTTACCTACTTAAAGTGTAAGTCAGTTGGGATCTTGTTTTCTTTTCAGTAACAGTGAGGCCCATGTCCAGTGAGAGAATTCAGTAATCAGCATTTCCAGAGCTTTTTGCTAGGTTTCTGATTCATTTATTTGGCTTGGTAAAGTATAGTTCTTCTTTAGCTCTGTTTTTGTAGAATATAGAGAGGATGGCTGAATTTAGTGACAACTTAAGTTCTTTGGTGAACTTTAAAAAAAAGAGTTTTTTAAAGAAACTTTAGGCTCACTTGTTCCTGCCTCATGCTGACCCATACCTGGTACAGAACCCCCCCCCCTTTTTTTTTCTTTTTTATTTAAAAGATGACCGGTAAGGGGATCTTAACCCTTGACTTGGTCTTGTCAGCACCACGCTCTCCCGAGTGAGCCACAGGCCGGCCCAGAAACCCCTTTTTTAAAGAAAATTAAAAATTAAAAAAAAATTTTGCAGCTGGTTGGTGTGGGGATCTAAACTCGTGACCTTAGTGTTATAAGGCTGCACTTAACCAACTGAGCTAACTGGCCAGCCAGAAACTCCTGAATGAAGTGTCCTTCCTTCCCATTCACTGTGTTAGAGAATTTCTGGCCCTTTTAGGTTCCCGTTCCCATTTAGAAGGAAATCTCAGTTCCCTCCTCTTTGCCCCACGCTCGTTTGCTCAGGATGTATGAGACCAGTTATTGTATGAACTGTCCTTTCCTAGAGCATAACTTCTTGAGGAGAGGAAATTGAATCCTGGTTATTAAGGTGAAGCCCTGGTAATGTACCTTTGCTTTGCTTATATTACGTTGATGTAAAAGAACATATTAACCAGAAATATACCTCGACATCACCTTTAATGGAAATAGTACTGCCCAAAATAAAATTAGAGTAATATAATCACAAAGACTAGCATAAACTTGTAAATCAGTGTGCTAAATACAAAGGCAGGAGGAAAGCTCTCAAACTCAGGCTCTTCAAAGTATTATGTATCTTTAAATATTGACACTGCCTCAGGCATCGTACTTAGTGTCTTGAGTGGTGAGTCTATACAACCAGAGTCCTAAAGATTATAATGTCATGTGTCTAATTTGGGCTATATATTGGGTTTCTGATTTTAGAAATGACATCTCTTAATTTTTCTCTTGCTTTTATTTATTTAGAGTAGGGTTTCTTGACCTGGCCGTTGACATTTTCAGCTGGACAATTGCTTGTTGTGGGAGGTTGTCTTATGCATTGTAGGATGTTTGACAGGATCCCTGACCTCTCCCCACTAGAAAGCAGGAGCATACCCCAGTTGTAACAACCAAATATGTCTTCAGGAATTGCCACACACCCTCTGGGGCACAATATTGCCACTGGAGAGCCACTGCTTTAGGATAATCGTTATTGGCAAGTGCATCATCACTGGCACCTGTTCATGCAGGGGAGTTAGGCTGCTTGCTAAACTGGGGTACATTAATTACAGAATAATAAAATCTGGTATTAGTAAATATGACTTTCTTTTTTTTTTTAACGTTTTTATTGTTTTCTTTTTGAATATGACTGCAAAAAGTATCATGTCCTTTTTTTTTCTGGTGGCTGGCCGGTATGGGCAACCAAAACCTTGACCTTGGTGTTACAAGGCTGCACTCTTAACCAGCTGAGCAACCGGCCAGCCCCAAAAGTATCATTTCTTTATTATCAAGTGTCAGGTATTTGGCCAGTTATTTATCTGGTTTTATTCTTTGTTAAAAAATTTATAAGAAACTTTCATTTAATGTTTTACTTTTTAAAATTTCATTTAAATAGATGGAGTTGTTTCATATATTAGGTATAACCCATAATATTTGAGGCTTATTGCTTTCCCTTAGATTGGTTAAATAAATTAGTTTTCTCTTATGTAAAACATAATAGTTCAAAAAATTTATTGTCTAATATATGCAAGTATATACAAGAAAAAAATCCAGAAGATATACTAACAGTAGGGTTAGGATTACAGAATATTTTCACTTTCTATGTTATATACTTCTGCAAGGTTTGAATTTGGGGTGGGGAGAGGGGTTTGAATTTTTTAATATGAGCATATAGTATTTTATAAGTAGACAAATGATTTAGGTAAATTTGTATTAAAATCTCTTTATTTTCCTTAAGTGGCTTTCTGATAGGAAAAAGAGAGCACTACAGAAGAAAGATGTAGGTGAGTATTAATTGTTTTTCCCACTTCAACTACATTAGTGATCCATGTTATAATGCTTTTAGTCATTTATTGTTAACTCTGTATAGGTATAGTAGTCCATTTTCTGTTGCTGATAATAGAATACATGAAACTGGGTAATTTTTAAAGAAACATAATTTATTTCTTACAGTTTTGGAGGCTGGGAAGCCAAAGTTCTGGTGAGGGCCTTCTTCTTGGTGGGGACTCTGTACAGAGTCCTGTGGCAACACAGAGTATCAGATGGTGAGGTCTGAGGGAGAATGTTTTTCTACGCTTTCTTCCTCCTCTTATAAAGCCCCTAGTCTACTCCCTGATAACCCATTAAATCATTAACCCATTAGTCCTCATGATCTAATCACTTCTTAAAGGCCCCACCTTTCAAATACCATTTTGGGGGTTACGCATGAACGTGAGCTTTGGAGGACACACACACTCAAACCATAGCAATAGATGAGGGTTTACAAAAATACAGTGAAATTAATATAGTGAAAGATAAACATCTTTGACTTTTCCTTCTTAAGAAACCTTTCGTTGTGGTTGATATGTTCCTGGTGAGTATGGGATTTGATTTTATCCTACTTACAAGCTAATAAGTTAGCCTGTTACTGTTTCACGGATAATAGCAGAAGATGCAAGACTCCTGCGTCAGAGACAAGGACTTTGTTACTCGTGACACAGCAGACAGCGTGAGCGTCAGCATATTTGTCCTGGTTTGTCCCTGAGTCCCATGGGGGCACTCAGCACAGCCCAGACAGATGCTTCACGTGCAGCGGGTTTGTGTTGCAGCTGAGGATCCCTGAGCTTGGGAAGTCCACTGCTTTCATAGCAAGCAGTAAGCAAGCTGGCTGTTTATACAGAGGGGACATGTTACCTCATCCATCAGGGTTCCCAGATACATAAATAACCCTGAGAAATGGTTCAGGTAAAAGTGGCCAGGGCCTTGCATTCTTGTTACACCCAGCAAGATGTGTAGGAATGCAAGAGGCCCGATGAGGACTTTGTTCTCCAATGCATCCAAATCTTTTTCTTTTTTTTTACTTTATTATATTGTAAAAGGACACCCAAATCTTTTTCTGTTAGTTAAATCTATTTGTCAGTTTTTGAGATACAGCGACAATGAGCATTTTCTTTTTTTTTTTTTTTTTTTTTTTTTTTTTTTTTTTT